CCTCGAGGACCCTGAGAGAGAAACCCCTCAGTGTCACAGGCCAGGGCTGCAAAGGAAAGGGATCAGACAAAAAGTCCTCAAAGCGCATACTGGAGCGTACTGTACAAAGCAGGGTTGAAGGAATTTGTCGCCCGGGGTTATTTTAGTGGTGCAACCGCATTTTATTTTTTTAATGCAATGTAAGTGCTTCTATTTTCTTTTTGTAAATAACTTAAGTGACTTTGTTTGAGTGCAATAAAAATAAAGATGAATGGAGCAATCTTGACGACTTTAATAATGTGTAACAGCAGCTTTGAATGCAGTCATAGTAACTTTCTGCTTGGTGGGATATTAAAGGTAACCAGATGAGCTTGTTTTCACCGTTTCACAGACACCTCTTTGGTGAAGATTTATGCATGTTTTTTTTGTATCTCACTTGGCTGTCTCTTTTTTTTTTTTTTTTTTTCAGTTTGAAAAAGCCCAAAAAGTTTCCAAATTGGCAAAGTTACATTTCGTTTGTTTTTTTTTCCAACCAGTGCAGCTGCCAATGTTTCCTCTACAAAACAGACTGACTGCATCAGCACTGGAGGAGAATCAACAGTTTGCAGAAAAAAAAAAAAAAAAAACACTTTGAACTTTAATTTGCAACCATTTTACTATCACTTCACACACAGTGGAGTGTAGGGCAGGCTGAGATTTAGAAGAAAAAGTAGAAAAGGGACTTTGCCGTTGTTGTGGTTGCTATCCCAGCTGTTGGATTGTCATTAAGACAATTTTGCAAAATGTCTTCTCAAGGAGGAAGACCATGAAATCCCTTAAAAGTAATCAATCCAGCTGTTGTGTCGTGTGCCCCGGTGTACAGAGGATACAGTCCTCATCGCAGCAGCCATTGGTTCAAATCCAACCTTGGCCCCTTTGCTGCATATCATCCCCTCACTCTCTCCTCCCAACATTTCCTCTCTCTCTTCAGCTGTCCCAGCCAATGAAGGCAAAAAGGCCCCCAAAAATAACTTAATAAAAAGTGATCAGTCAGACCATTTCACCTCTTCTAAAACATACTGGGAGTGGGAGCCAGTGTGAAAAGGCTAAAACTGGGATGTGATTTCTTTCTTGGACGTTGCATGTATATCGATACTTTTTTTGGTTGAGGCACAAAAAGGCTGATGGGAGTAATCGAGGCATGATGAGAAAAAAAGCAAGGAAAGCCTGCTGTGGTGAATCCAAACAAACAGGATCCTCATGTGATTTGGATCTTTTCTAGTGAAAAGTATGACACATCAATGCCTACTTTCCTCTAATTCCCAAGGGGTTAGTTACGTGCACAGACATCGAAGTGAGGAGTGAGGAGTCTAATTAGATTAAAAATACATCTCTTTAAGACCTGGTTTAAATCTGTTCTGACCCAGGCCTGGCCTCCCCCTCCGTGTTCCCCTCTTCTGCCGCCAATCCACAACAGCAGCTTTGAACTTTAGACCTTGTTTTCTAGGCAGAGGATGAAAACGAACACGCCGTCGGGGCTGTTGGCAGGCTGACAAGGAGACGGAGAGGGAGGAGCGAGAGGAAAAAGAGAGGTTGAGACAGAGAGGAGCTTGTAAAGAAAGGAATGAAGTAATGAAAAAAAAAATAAGGCGGGAACTGAGGAATGAAAGGAGAGAATAAAAGAGGGAGTGGAAGAGAAGAGAGGCCCCCCCCCCAAACCTCAGGCAAGTATGTGAAGTTTTTGTACAAAACGTACGGTGACAGGCGGGGAACTGTCCTCAGTGTTTACATCTGTCTCAGCTTTACCTCATTACATTATTAGTAGCTTCTACTTTCAATATGCTAACATGAATTTATTTAAACCAAAACTATAGTCAGACGAAACCAAAGAGAGAAAAGCACATCACTCCCACTCTACATGCATGAGCTGCTGATCGCTCATTTCCCAGCTGATCGATACTTTGTCAATGGCTGACCTACAGTATGTAAATAAGGACAAAAGGACAACAGCTGATTTTATGAGCATCACATTGTGCGGAGTAAAAGCGGCAACGATCCAACTGCTCATGATGCAAACCTGGAAACCTGGAAATGCATCTCTCCCTTTGATCCCCTTAAAAATGCCATTTCTCCACCTGTTACCATGGATACTGTTTTGTTCCCTGGATCTGAAAATGACAAATTTTGATTTAGGACCCCACTAACCGAGCTCCACTCATTCACACCTGACCCTTGAAGCCTCATTGACGTGTTCCACAAAGTCCACGATTACCTTTTTTGGATACAAAGCCCAAAAAAAGAGAAATTTTGAGAATCTATTTTTATCTTAAGAAACATAATAAGATTAAGAATTAAATCTGCAGCATTTTCTGAAAAAGAGCTCTGAACACTAGGTGTGTCTCAGCTGCTGTTTGTGACACACGGTGAACTCTGTGTGACGTAAACAAACCAAATGATCAACAGATTGCAAAGCCAGGGTTATTCACCGTTTGTACAGCTGCATGGAAACAGGAATATTAGTGGTTTAAACATCTTCCTCAGCCGTGTTTAGAACTATGAATATTATCAGACTGAGACACATGACAAGAGCACAAAAGTCGTTATTATTTTATGTCCAATTTGTGAAGGCCAATGTTAACAAGTTTTTCAGATTTTCTGTTTTTAAGAAATATTTCACACACAAAAAAAATCCTCAAAAGGAGTTTTTTTTTCCCTTATCCAACAAGCCCACCCAGTGCTGCCCCGGGAAAAAAAACCTTCCATTACATAAAATATGGCATAAGCAAACACACACACACACACACACACACACACACACACACACACACACACACACACACACACACACACACACACACACACACACACACACACACACACACACACACACACACACACACACACACACACACACTTAAACTCTGAGCTATGCCCTGTCAACATGAAGATAAGTTATTAGTTGTTTTAAGTTAAGATTTGTGTAAGCCTATGTTTTCCCGTTTCCTCGCTCCGCCTTGTCGAGGGTCATGGCAGCGTCGTTCAGGCGAGAAGAAGCTTTCTGAGCATTCATCCAGTGAGACTGTGAGGATACTCTGTGTGGTCCCTGTGTGTGTGTGTGTGTGTTTGTGTGTGTTTGTGTACTAAAACTGTGATGTGCAGCTCTGCAATTAGAGCAATTGGACGTGTGTTTATCTTTCCCTGACAGTACGGAGTGTCTTTAAAGTAATCATTACTCTGTTACTCCAGTTAGGTGGCTCATCAGGTGAGGAAATGGAAAAAAAGCTTGTAAAATAAAATGTTACAGCCAAAATCCAAGTTCCAATCTAAGGAATTAACCAACATGACTGGGGAAAGAAATGTTGTTTACCACCAAGTGGAAACAAGAGAAGGCATTATTAAACATCCATATAACAGACACTGCAGAAAGCAGCAACTTAACAATGTAAAGGCGCTTCTCTTCCTCATCTACATGCAGTGTGGCTGCAGCTCGGCTGGCAGGCAGAGCCCACACACTGTCAGCTCTGCCTTCTGTATTTGGTTTCATACAGACATGGAGCTCATCTGAAGAGGTTGGTTTGATAGATATCAGTTTGTTGTTGTCAGGTGTGTTATTGAGCATTTACAGCGACTTTACTCACTTTGACATGCTGGAAAGGAGCCACAGGTCAAATTCAAACCCGGGCTGTAGCCTCTGTACATAGGGCATGCAGAAATAAAACACTAGGCCACCGACAACGTAAGGTCAACACTTTTTTTTCAGTATCAAAACATTGCCAACATATTTGTGCAATAGACATTAGACATTGTGCAGGAGTTTGTAATTTGTCATTTCTGGTGATAAAAAACGAGAAATTACACTAAATTGGGTGCCTAAGACTTCTATTTTTGCTGCCTTGATATGAAAACGAGAATGGATATGGTTTGATTCTTTACTAGATATCGTGACAGCTTTAAGATGTCACACCGGTTTGGGTAAGAAAAATGTAGTTCAATAGGGTATCGACTATTTAATACAAAACCTTCAGATTGAACAGATTTTTAGGAACATGACATGTTTGATTCTAATGCAGTGGAGATTACCTAAAGGCTACTGCACTCCACAGAAAAAAAGTCTCAGTAAATGAATAAAAATCCTTTGAAATGAATATGTTCTTTTTCTTGTACGTTCAGATTTAAAATAATCAGTAAAGTGAATTTGAATGGAAAAACATGTCCAACTTGTCATGTTTCCATGTAATAAATTTAAATTGAATATGTCTGGTAATTGTTACGGATCATTTATTTTACAGAAATGCTGACAAAAATGAAAAGCATGATAAGCATAAAATACAAATGTTTGCCCTTGCAGTCCATCTCTTTGTTTTTTTTAATTGACTTTTAAGAGTAAAAAAAAAAGTTGACTCCAGAGAAACCCTCAAAAATACCAATTAGTTTACCATACGCCATGAACTTAGCGTTAACATCTACAAAACTGTTCGATTTATGTGGAAACTCCAAAACAAACTATTATCCAGCTTAAAATATTGCAAACAAAAAGGAGGCTGAAATCAAACCGTTTTCTGTTTGTTTGTGAGTTTCTAACCACTTTGTGTCCTTCGCTTTGATTTGCTGCTGAAATGATTCCCCTCTGCTTTGGTTTGGGTAGATCCGCTCTGTTCTTCCAAAGTGCATTCTAATTTGATTGCAGAGCGGAGTCATCATAACAGATCATGCCATGAAAGAACACCAACATCATTTGCAGGCATCTCCTGTCATGAGTCAAACGTAGCACTCTTTTATGAACCATCCGTTAAAAAGTGAAATAAAAATCTCTATTCCTACAAAGATTATTCTGTTTCTTTTTCATCCTGCAGGTGACGTCCAAATGTTCCTCTGCATATGAAACTGTATTAATCCTATCATTTTCATTTTGCATAACAACAATGGTGCTGATGTAAACAAGCTTATTATCTGCAGTCTGGGTAAGGACCTCTGTACAAATAACTAAACAAAAACATTAAAACATGCATTATCTGTTGTAGAGGAAACAGTCTATCGCTGACCTTTTACTACCATGAGAGAGCGTGCTTCATTTTCCTCCTCGCAGCCAAAGACGGTAGCTCACAGTCGATACTCCTCCACACAAAATCTCACTGGATCCAGAGGTATAAAACCAACGCAGATCCCTCCGCTTAAGATCTGCTTCAATGATTCAGATATTCATTGATACTCCCTATGCGCCCATGGCTTGCTGCTTCCTTTACACATTGACTGTTTCCTCTCTCTACTCCAGTGACTTCCTCTTACTTCTCCTTCTTCTGCCAGCAGCTTGCATGTACGGAAAACAACACAGCCTGTAGTTTGTCTGATGACGAGCAGTTAGTGGGCCAAGGACCAGCGAGTTGAAACCTGGGAGTTAATGTTCAACCTGATAATTGAGAGTCAGCAGGGAGAGGGCAAACTCCACCAAAATAGCACAAGCCATGACTGACCTGAGGAAAGACTTAAAGAAGGGGGGTTGGGGGGGTGGGGGATGGGCAATCACTTATCTTGAATATAAAGCTGGAAAAAATGCAAAGATGAAGATACTGATGAATGAAACAAAGAGGAAGCATGACCTTAAAGGATGTACTAATTCATAGGGAAGAAAGGGGGCAAGAGAAAAGAGGAAATGGTGGGATGTACACATTGTTTAACATTTTGAAAATAACGCAAAACAAGAGGCAGATAGGGGAAGAAATCAACGAAAATAAAAAAGTGAGAGGAAGCAGAAATCAGGAAGTTAAGAAGAAAAAAAACACGAGAAGAAGAAGAAGAATACCCTGAAGTGAGAAGAAACCTCAGGGGCAAACACTTCCACACTTCAAGTGTGATAACAGCGTATAAACGTTCAGTCAGATTGTTGGCAGCTCAGTTTTACAACCAGTAATTCTGTCATTTCAAAGAATAAAAAGAACGTGTTGACAGAACGGTTCAATTCAGAAACTAAGAAATCAGAGATTTGGTTTTTGATGAAGCATTCATAACGTCCATTTTGAACCTTTGAGATAAATATAGAAACATCGACTGCTCATGATAATACCAACCTCATTTCTTATTGAAGCCAGAGATAGAGGACTGTTTTATTAACGGGCTTCTCAATAAAACAGAGTAGATTTTGTTTCAATCTACACTGCAGATAAACGTCACACTAAGTTCAAGGGTGTATTTTAAATTGCTCAGTCCATGGGGAGGCAGCTTTACAAATTAGCACCAAGGATTCTGCAACAAAGATGACTCAATACGAGCTACGTCATTGGTACTAAATTTGTTTGCGCTTCATTGCATGAGGGCCGTTCCTTCCCTCTCCAACAAATGGATTAGTTCTAACAACATTCTTGTGTTTTATTTTGTGGTTTCTCATTTATTTCTGTTAATGCATGTGGAGAATGACTTCAGCAGCACTGACACAACCAATGAGACATTTCCAGATGTTGCAAATGTTTCTGTAACAGAGAAAGATCTAGGCCAAATCATCCATCTCTCTCTGTTCTTCAGCCTTAAAGGGGACATATGCAGAAAAATCCTCTTGTACAGTGTTTTTGAACATATATTTGGGTAACCTGAGTGTCTACTGACCCACAAAATGTGAAATACACCCATCCAGTCCTTTGTTTATGGTCTGTATAAGTCTTACAACACAGAGAAAAATGCTCTGTTTCAAATTTTCTCTCCTTGTGATGGGGTTCATTGCATTTAAAGAGACACACACACCGAAACAGAGCATTCTGAGACAGCTGGTTTATACAGGGTCACAAACCTCCTCTGGTGCTTGATTCATGTTATATTTTGACCAAAGCACAGCACAGATGTTTCATTTAGACCACAGGGGGACTGTTTGAAAAGGTGGGAAAGGGCTATAATATGTCCTCTTTAATGTCATCATCAACAAGCTTTATCACAAATTCCTCTGTTTGGTTTTAATTTGTGCTAAAGCTCTGCTGAGGGTTCAAGTTCGATTTATTTCCCTTGAATCCTCCTGTTTCATGTTTCAGTTCTTTTATTCATCAGTAAAGTGTTCTGATCGGGGCTTGTTGGTTCATGATGTGTAATCAAGTTTAAAAGACTTGAAGCCTTTGAAAACAGGCGCCATGTTTACTATGATGCCTTTGAGGTAAAATAATCTGTCATAATCTGCGCTTACATATAGTTTTGATATTGAAGTGATGGCTTTCACTCGTCTCCAGGAGGCTTGTGACAGCAGCAGTAGTCTCTTTTATCACCTCAGTGCTCAGAGTTGCCTATTCACACATACAGACGAGATAACGCATGTGTAATATTCACTGATCCAAAGATTTGCTTTAACTGATCTAGTCCTGCTCTGCTCTCCAGCTGGCTGCTGGTCAAAATATGATCAGCCATCAGATGTAAATAATAGGGTTGATGAAAGGTCTGATGACTGCTTTAAGTTAGCAAAATAAGCCTTGTAAGCTGAGGGCGTTCGCCACATGACATTGGAATGCTATAGGGCAGTGAACTTTGAGCAAAGGGAATTTCCTAAGCCAGAGGAAGTCCACTTCAAAATGAGCTGCTTTAATTAAAGACATACAGCAGATGAAAGGCCGTGTGGTAAGAGTTCTACCTTTTGGATGTATGCAGCTGATGGTGATAAGATGCTCTGCTGCCTTTTCTTGAACTTAGAGGTTTCAAATGGGGCTGTCAGCATTAATGAGTTAATCACAATTTAAACAGGATGAGAATAAGTCTACCCTTTGTCTTGTATTTGCCCTTCATTAAAAAATTATATAATTTGACCAAATAAACAGTTATTCTTCAGACTGTGTGGTCTTCAGAGTGCAGCCACTATTTGACCTAACCGCTTAGAAGCATAATTAGCAGCTTTTCCTGTAGATTGTTAATATTTGGACAGCTGGCATTAGACCTGCTGACACTGTTTATTATGGTATGGAGTCATGATGATGCAGTCATGTTATGGTCTGTTTGATATTTTTCCTGGATCACGAGTCCGAAAACAGACTCTAGAAATGTTGAAAAAAAAAAACTCATGTTCTAAAAAGTGAAAAGATTCAAACTGAATGACTTCTCCGTGTTAAAAAGTTTGATCTTTTAAGACCTGATGAGTCCGTTTATGGAGGGTCTACCTATATATGCTCCCAAGCCCGATATGACAACTAACATGCCAAGACAAGTGTGTTGCTTTTTTAGGAAATCTAATGTACAACACATCAAAATGGTTTTCAACAGGGAGAGTGAGAGAGTAAGTTTTATTAAAGAAAAGCAGAAATCCCAAACTGATTTCTTATTGATCATTGGATCTGAATATGAAATCACCTGTATTTTTTATATATTGATCCCAAAACGTACGGTTCTAATCTTTCCATTTGCTGACCAAACTTGCAGCTGGGTGCCGCTAATTTCCTCTCATCTTTGCAGTTGGATAAAATGGTGAAAGGGGGAGGTGATCCTCTGCCCTCTGCCAACATCTCCATGTCCAAGCCAAAAAGAAGGCATCAGGCCAAAACTAACACATTAGCTTATTGTAATTTAATGTGCTTAATGTGTCTAGACTGCACCCAGAAAGAACCTTCTCTCTTCTCAGAAGCAGAGCAACAATCTCTTTGGCACCAAACATCAAACTCATCATGTAAATACTTTCCTTTCAATAACGTAAGTTGGCATTTGTTAGATATTTGAATTTGTTGTGTGTTTCTGACAGCCCACAGGATATAAAATGCTTCTCACTGTAAATGTCCTTTAAAACAGTTCTGTTAGAAAAGGTGTGTCAAACGAACTGATTGAGTTCCCTGATAATGTCAGAGCCTGGACACATGATGCCTACTTACCTCAAGTATTGCTGGAGTGCTTTCAGTTTGGTCTTTAACGTTACATTTTCACAGAGACAAGGTCCAAACGATTGGCTTAGCCACCACTTGAGGACTTAAAAACCATCTGAGTGTGTATGAGTCCATCCTAATGTAAAAAAAGAACGATGGCTGCAGACTGCTAAAAAAAAATCACATTTACTGTACGATACTTGACTTTGGAAAGACTTTCAGGGTCACTATTTACAAAACTTCAACTGGGTGCTCCTGGAATAAAGTAACAAGAATTTAAACTTACAACAGAGCAGACAAAGAAGCTGCTTAAGGCTCCATCTGCCCTCATGTGTGATTGTTTTTGCTATCTTACATTACAGATTAGCATTACAAGCTAGAAGTCATTTGAAAGGTAATGTAAACTGTCTAAACTGAACCAGTTATTTTTTACGGTCTAATTCACAACTTCCTGTTTGGTGCTAAAGACAGTTCCTTACTGTTTATGTAGTGTATGCCATTGAGCATCATTATTTGCAAATTGCAATGATCATGCATGTCAGATTTCACCAGAATATTAAAATGAGAAAGAGACCGACTCAAGAAAGCTGTGAAAGTTTGAATCCCACTTCACACCAATCGAGGCGACAGTAACCCACAAAAACTCAGATTTTGTTTGCATTATTTTCCAACACGGTGAAATTGTGCTTCACAGTAAGTTGGGGAACTTTCTTGGTGTAATGCCAGCGTTTTAGACCCACAGTGAGATGAAGATGTGTCTCATCTCTGGGAGATGAAATCTGGGAGTTAACGAAAGAACACACTGATCCTGGAGTAAATCACGCTAATGTCTATTTGGGAATTAAAAATTAGATTCCAGTTTTTATTAGAACTTCCAAGAAGGATTTCTAAATTTTCCATTTCCAAGTTCGACTCTGGGGGAGGATATGTAACCCCTGTTCTTTCCTAAGTTGAAAGCTTAGTGTGGTGTGCTTTGTGGGTGGGGGGCCACCTGTGAAGGGACCACTAACAGCCAGAAGTACAGGATAAGCCTGCCTGGTATGCAAGTCTAGTCCATAGCTGCTTTCATCCTCTCTAAAAGGCAGAAAAAGGTGAATTCCTTTGTGCATTATTTCCACATGTTAACGGGAGCAGGCGGGGTCGAGCAGAAAAATACGAGCAAATGGTGTGAAACTGTGTTATGTGGAAACCATATATTAACAGAATTGACTGTAACAATTCAACACAATCCAGTGAAAATGAAACCTGAGCTAAAGCAAAACAAGCTCCTTATTTTGTCCTTCTCCGATTGCAGTTCTGTCATTCAGGAACAATAAGAGCACAGTGTCTGCCGGCACCTTTGTTGACCAGGTAATAATAGCTATGATGGAAACATTGAGCAAAGTATCTGTTAATCTGCACTGCAGCATTGTGCACCAGACTCCTCCCACCTCGTCTAGACTGCCAAGAATGCAGGTGTAAATCAATACACCTCTCTGTCCACCTTCAACACACACACTCTGAATTTGAAGTATATTCAACGGCGTGTCCTTGGGAAAG